GGAGGCGGAGCTTGCAGTGAGCCGAGATCGCGCCACTGCACTCCAGCCTGGGCGACAGAGCGAGACTCTATCTCAAAAAAAAAAAAAAAAAAAAAGGAAAGCAGGCGTGATCTCGCTACAGAGTATTAGTGGGGCATTCACAGACTTAGAAATCTAAAGGACTCCAGTCATTAGGATGTAAAAGGATGTGATGTGGGTGTGCCTAACATGACATCTTCTGACCACATGTTCAAATGTTAGTGTCCCCACTAGCCTACAGGGTTCTTCGGGTCTAAGACCTTACTTTAAAAAAAAGAAAAACTCTACTCCCAAGAACACAGCATAGTTCTAGAACCTGGCATCTAAGAAGCAGTTCACAAATACTTAATGAGGAATATCAGTGCCCAGTCTGCCCGGGAACATAACTGTTCCACTTACTAGGGTATGGTTGTAAAATCAGAGCTTTCTAAAGTGTGGTCTGGAGACCTCTAGTGGTTGTCTGCAGTTCAGTATAAGGTCAAAATCTTAAGGATGACAAATTAGGAAAGAACCAAATATCAGACAACAGGTTAAGGCCTGACCGGAGTGAAAAAAGTGGGTGCAATGGTAGAGGAATCGACTAAAGAAGTTTAAAAATGAAAGATTTGTTTAAAGTGTCTAAATCAGAAAATAAAAATGCAATCTTTTTTCCCAAAAAACTGATGCCAAAAGAAAAATAATGCAATCATTTTACCCGAATGTGATACCTATGAAGACAGCAACTGTTTCCTAATAATCAACTGTATTGCAAAGTACAACAAATCCAGTTCATATCCCCCCTTATAACTCTTAGTTTTTTTAAAAAAATTTAATAGAACATAAATGACTAGTATTTTAAGACACATTGCTGTTTGAGAGGCCATAATACAATTTTGGAAAGAAAAAAAATCACCCCTTTATAAATTCAAGACATAGAAAACAAGAAGAAAACATTCCCTGTATGTGAAAGATAGTCAACTGTCCAGGCCATCTGAGATCTCCGAGAAACTGCAGATCTCGTTTTTGTAGAATGTTAGTTATGCTGGAGAGACGCCACTCTTTCAACATCATACTGGGAGTCTCACGCTTAAGTGGAATGATTGTTATTCCCAGCAGGCAAGCTTACTGGACTTTAAAACCGGCTAGGCTGGGTTCATGCCACAGTTCAACATTTTAATAACAGGGTAAACTTGAACAAGCTACTTAACCTTTGTGTACCTCAGTTTCCTTCTTTAGAGAAGATGCATGATAACAGTCTGCCTCAGAGCTGTTAAAAGTAAATGCATTATAAATCCAAAGAACCAAGTGCAGTGGTCTTGTACCTAGTAAGGAGTCGATAAATGTTTGTTACTACAATTAATGTGCTAAAAATGACCTGGCATGACTCACGTAAGTCAACAAAGATTTTATTTCTTCAACCAGAATTTAAAAGCATATTTATTTTAGAAACAGCTTGCATGACTCCACAAGACTCTCTTAAAAAAAGCAACTTTTTCTCTTTGTTTATTAACTGAAAAATAATCACACTCAATCGAGATTATAAATATTGAAATGCTCTAAAAGTAAGTCGTTGCTACGGAAGAAATCATTAACCACAAATCCTACTCATCTAAACACTGGAGAGCATAAAGGAGAGACTTTTCTTCTTTATAAAAGTATTTATAATTTTGTAAACAGCTATGAGCATAACTCTAGGTATGGACCAAATGTTCTAGCAAAAAAGGACGTTGTAAAATAAAAAATCATTTATCTCATTATACATAAATTCATTTGAAAATCTATGATGCTTCTGAAGTTGTTTAGCCAAATTTACAGTGGGTAATGGGACAGTTCACTTTAAATATGAGAATACATAGAGTTGCAAAAGGGGAGATACGAGTTGAGACATCTGAACAAAACAAAAATGTGCTTTATTATATGTATCAAAGAAAACCGAAAAGTCCAAATCGCTAAGACTTTCCTCCTTCTCCTCATATTTAGGGTGGAAAAGCAAGCCATCCACCCAACTAGCTACTCAACCTATTAGATCTCTGAACAATAGAATTCATGTAGACAACTCCTTGCTTCAAAGCAGAGAGTTCATCCTGTAGAAAGTAAAAATAAATAGAGCTTTTTATTTAAAAAAAGAACAACATCAGGAATACCAAGAGCAAAGTCTTGGCGAAAATTACTTTCCACAATGGCTGAAGTGTAACTATCTTTTATTTGGAACTCTATAGGTCAGTACTTGAGTCAATGTTTTTCTATTAATTCAGTTTATAGCTAAAGTACTGAGAGATAATGATCTGAAATATTTGCACCCAAAATGCACTCATAATCTATTATCCCAGTTCCCTCTATAACCACTTTTTCACCCACCTTACAAAGTTCTCCAGCAGAATCTGCATATTTGCAAAGTGTTCTCCTGATGTTGACATTGCATTACAAATGATTAAGAAAAATTTCAGAGACAGCTTGGAAAGAGAACGGAAGCATCGTTCCTCACCTTTTCCCATTCAGCTTATCTATATTAAATGGTGATAATCAGTAACTATTTACTAAGCTTTCAAAAAGTGATTGGCACACGTAGTCCTTGTTCAGCAAGATTTAAAGGACAAGGCATAATTTGAGAACATAAAGTGTAACAAAAAGCTCACGAACGTTCATGCCATAACATGACATACGACCAGAGGTACTCAAGAGTGAGCACCTTGGGAGAGAAGTATTCTATTGCCCTCCATAAAAACTGGGGGCACGGTCCTCAGCAGTGGCTTTGAGCTTAGATGGAAATAGAAAATTATAATTTCCATCTATACCCCTTTAAGGGCTCCCCATATTCACCATCCCCATTCTCTTTCATCTAGCTAATGTGAAAGATGAGATGAGATAAGAGTAAGAACAGAGAAAGAATCTGAATGAGAATGAATTTCGACAGGTGAAGGTGCAGCACACAAGTTATTTTCAGGACCTCACGCTATTGTATTCTTGGAAAAGTTAAGTGAACAGTCAAATGTTATGCTTTATCAGAAAAGAGCCATGAGTTCAAACTTCATAGAAAAATTAAAATTCATTGGGAAAAAACCTTGACATTAATGAAAAACGTGTATAATATTATAGTCATCAATCCTCATAAACACAATGGCCCAATTTGATAAAGATTTCTACTTCTCTCATTTTGGATCTCCACTGAACTCTAAGTCACATTCAATCGTTGAAATGGCTTAATAATCAGTGGCTTAAAACTCGGGCGATTTATTATAGAAGTGACCAGTATATAATGACCAATCATTACCATATGAAATTACAATCCTTTTCAGTATCATGCAATGTTCAGTGGGAAAAGTTCAAGAAAATATTCTAAAGATATATTCTCTTGCATAAAAATGCCTATTACCAATGTCTGTCAAGCACCACTATAAAACTAAAATTTACTTCTTTCTCATACATGTTCGTCTAAGTCAGTGTTTAAAATTCTATTGGCTAACAATGAAAGTGTATACTTTCTCTGGATTCTCACTCAGAAAAAACCTATGTAACGACATAGTTTCTGAGACAAAGAAATTTAAAATGAACTGGATATTATATGACTCCAGAGGATTATAGCCAATGTGTTAGGTGTGATAATGCACAGGGTTATGCGAAAAAGTGTCCATACTTTAAAAATATACATACTAAAGTACGAATAGGTGGAATGAGATATGCTTTAAAATATTTTAGCAAAGAATTGAATCTGACAATTATTGAATCTGGATAATGAGTTTCTGGAGGTTCGTGTATTATTTTTCAGTTTTGTGTAAGTTTGAAATGTTGCATAATAATTTTTTAAATATTTAAAAACATATTGTCTAGATACACTCAAAGAACTCAGGTAGGGAAAAAAATGTTTAAATTTAAAATTTAAATTTTAAACTGAAGTGCAATTTTTAAAAATTTGAATTTTAAATATAAAAACTGAAGTGCAAAAATTATGAAATTGACATTTAAAAATCTATTCTTTTATATAGCTAATCTGGATTTCATCTAACTTAAGAAAAAGCTTTAATGAAGACCCTGTTAAAAGTTTGTATCAAATGAGGACTTATAATGCTTTACCCCAAAGCAACAAAACGCAGATGCCCAAAAGATGTATAAAAACAGGCGTGCAATGCCGGGCGTGGTGGCTCACGCCTGTAATCCCAGCACTTTGGGAGGCCGAGGCAGGCGGATCACGAGGTCAGAAGATCGAGACCATCCTGGCTAACACGGTGAAACCCTGTCTCTACTAAAAATACAAAAAAATTAGCTGGGCGTGGTGGCGGGTGCCTGTAGTCCCAGCTACTCGGGAGGCTGAGGCAGGAGAATGGCGTGAACCCGGGAGGCGGAGCTTGCAGTGAGCTGAGATCGCGCCACTGCACTCCAGTCTGGACTCCATCTCAAAAAAAAAAAAAAAAAAAAAAAAAAAAAAACAGGCGTGCATTTAGAAAAAAAAAAAAGCAGTCTTTTCTCGGCTACAAATGTTTGAAACTCACAGTATACTCTTTCTATCTCAAAGACTTTTAAAAATTACTTTCCATCTTTAGGGAAAACCGAAAGATGAAAAAACAACTCAGCAACATGTCTGTGAATAATGCCTAGCAAAGCTTTTAAAAAAAAAAAAAAAAAAAGCTTCTAGCCAAAAAGACTAACAGGAAAAAATTAACATTTTCAAAAGCATTTTGGAACCTTACTCCAGCTACCTCTGTGCTAAGCCCTCTTTTTCCTCCCAAAATACGTCACTTAACTGTCTGTCAAATAACTCTTGCCCATTCTACCTGATCACACTCTGAAGCTGCAGCTTTTCCTGGATTCGCTTCTCAATGACAAGCTGTTCAAACAGAGAACACCTATCAAAACGAATATCATCATCTGCTCCTTTCTTTCTTCCTTTCAGGATATACTGCTGTCCAGCAGGGGAAGTAATTAATCAGTTTTTTATGTATGGAAGCGTCATCCCATCAGTTTGCTGTCTGGTTTGAATAGCTCCTATCAGCTCTTCATTCATGCCAAGTACGCTCACCGTCCAGAGACATGATAAAGCCGTACTTCCTTTTGGATTTTTACCTCACTATTCAAAAAACAGTGTACCAGGAGCATGGGTTACAAAAGCATGAGGAGGACAGAAGAAATGCCTTCATCCTCTACAGAAAGGAAGCTGATGGACTGAAAAGTTGGTATGGAGAAAGGAAAGCAAGAGAGTACAAGAACATCCATGCTTCTAGTCCAGATAATGTTTTTTAAAGCAGCTTGATTTGGAAGCGTGTGTAATTCTGAAATACGAACAAGCAGAACTTTTCCAGGGGGTAAAATGCATATAGGAACAATCAGGATTTCTCATTGCTGAAGCATTCAATGAATCTTTAATAAGTTCTGAACACTCAAATTGTTTGTGGTCAGATCAACTGCTGTTATCAGATAAAGGCAAAACTCACCCTTCTGGTTCTATAATCCTAGCCCAATGGAGTCTTCATCTACCGCACACTATCCTAACTAATGCTACAGGATTATCAGGAATACAGATATAAAGACACTGCAAGAAATAAAACACTGGCAAAATAAAACATGAAAGGAAAGTAGAGAAGGCATTTCGGGTCTCGAAGCTTACTATTTCCAGCCAGAGTTCAAATTACTGAGCTTCAAACAAACCACTGCCAGGTAAGAATTAATTTTATAACCTTAATTTATATCTTGTCTACTGAAATTAAATCTGCTCGTGCTGTGAATGAGATAGTGGATTTGAATTTCTTGCAACCCTTCCCTAAGCTTTTGCAGATTTAAGCTGAGGTAAACACTTGTTTTTACTTATGGTGCATAAACAAGTCACTCATAACTAGATAATAAAGCATCCAAAACTCTCATTCATTTTTCATTGAATTTGCCTCATCTTTGTCTTTATTTTTATCCCAATTTTATTTAATAGCTTGAAAAAAATGCAAGAAGAGAGCCCTGAACGGTGCATAAGAGCCATTCACAGACAATGTTTACCAACAATATTCAAATGAACTTTGTTTCCCAGAGTACTTGATAAAACAAAGAAAAATTAATAAGCATTTTAAATATTTCTATTCATATAAAGGAACAAAAGCTCAATGACTGATTTCTATTGTTAGCAAGAAAAAAAAGCTGTGATGTCATTTCATTCATACTGAAGAAAAATAATCTCTACTAAATCGAGATATAACATTCTTGTAGGATGGGGCTAATTTATCCTAAAGATACTAGACATTTTTATAACAGACATTTACGAAGACATTTTTCTGATTTAACAAGAGGATAAAAAGATGAAAGATGTCTGGTACCTTAAAACCTCAAAAACTCAGGTCAGTGGTCCAAACTGTAAAATGCAAAGCACTAGTGAAGCCATCAAAGAATTTTAAAAGATACAGTGCCTTTTAGAAATTCCCTAGAAATCACTGCATAATGAGACTTCTAGAGAGACAATCTTAAGCAAAAACAACAAATCAGAATCATCTGATCTTCTTCATCTGATATTTTAATTTCCTACATAGATTTTTAGCAGAAATCCCAAGCACATTGGTTTTCATGTAAGTTTCATTGGAAAACTTAGGTCCAAAGCACCTTATCATAAAGAAGTCCTACAACAATTAATATTTCTATTATCTTAGAAGAGAGGAGACAGGGAAACAAGAGCAAATCACACCTAACTACGGAGATCTTGTGATAATACACGTAATCAGAAGTAAGTATTCAGTACTTGTCTGAAAGTAGTCAAATTAGAAATTCTCTTCCATTTCACTGAATTCTTTCCTTTTTTCAAATTTTAGTTAAGGGAGTAAATTATATGATTCCTTCATGCTTTTCAAGACAGTCTATAAATAACCTTAAATATCATAAGTCTTTTGCATGAAGTCATTACAGAAACTTACCTGTCATTTTCCAGTACCAAAGGAAAGCAGCAATTTAACACAAGTAATGATTATCTAATATACCAATTTGTTTCAGAGAAAAAACAGTTTATTTAGAAATCTCAAAATACTTCGTATAGTTAAGAGTGGTATTGTTGTTGTTTACCTACACTGAGAAATAGCTGAACCCTTAAGGGTTTTTTTCATCTGTTTCCTCTTTATTATGGTATTACAGTTTGTAAACAGACATGATTCAAAAATATGTAGACATTTTAAATGAAGAATATTAATCAATATTTTAAATTATAATTAAAGATGTTTTAACTAACTTGGACAAAAGTATGAAATTTGTGTTATGCTCAAACAATCTGCTTCCAATAAATAGAATTAAAGGGGGCAGATAACAATATTTCTTAAGCGTTCTGGATTTTATTTACTCATTGTAATGTAAACAGAAACTCACGTCCCACTAATTTGGGGGCGTTGTTTCTATAACTCACCTTCTAATGACAATGGATGGGCAAATGAATACTACCTTGCTCCACCCCAATTTGGTCCTTGTTAGTATCAATCCCAGTGAATTTTCACTTTCTTACCTATCCAAATCAATGCTTTGCTCTACAATAACCCATTCAGAAAAGTGATTATTGAAGTTTCAGTAACAGCTTTCAAAAAAATACCCTACAGCAATTTGGAATAATCTGTATTTTCTTCATGTAGGGTGAAAAAGAAACTGAAAACTGCTTCAAGTTTACATCTCATGGGTACAAATGGATGAGGGATTTTATGCTAGTACCTGAAGATTTGGTTTATTTATAAGAATTTTTCCCTGGTATTGACAGATTTAACAATTAAAGAGATTCTGAACAGTCTTGGGATGTAGTCAATGATCTGCCTCCTTGTTTGTGCAATTTAGGATGTATTTCATTCACACATATTATACAGAAGCATTACATTGTAAAAGTAATGTGATTGTGTATTATTAGTTCCTTTCATAGAAATGGAGCAAATATTCTGGCTGCCATATTCTTATAATAATACCTATTGCTGTATCTTTAAATTCTGGTCATTTTAAATTATCCAAAAGCTATAAGCTTTTTATTTAAACCATGATAAAATAAAAACAGGCATCTAGGTCAAAATGAACACATCCATTTCGTGTCTGTTGACATAACAATCTTAAAAAGTAATTTTCGTCTGAAATACCAAGCAACATAATTTTGTATATAAAATTAGAAACATACCTAAAATTCATTTTTGTGTGTTAGCATTTAACTTAAAGGGACTGACATTGCATAATATTTTTAAATGCATTAAATATATATTTACTTATGTCTTCATTATTATAACTTTAGGTTTTCATAAGGAATTTTTTTCATTCCATTATAATGGCACAGTGTTTCAAGCATAATTCAACCGGGCATTTCAACTAGCCAATATATTGGTTCCTCATTATGGTGAATTTTCTTTATGAAGTGACCAAATTTGAATAAGGATGTGGTTCACCATGAACATTCATCTCCTCTCCAGCTTCTTCCTGCTGAGAGAGAACAATCTTTGGTTTGTGACATCACAATCTGTGACTGGGAAGTGGCTCTGATATCAAACAGATGATTACATGCTTTCAGTGTGAACTAGCTGAAAGAGAGATGTAAGCACTATTATTTCAAGTCATATCACCAAGACACTAAAGAGATGCATGACAGGAACTGAATTAGAGAAAGATGCTTTTATTGCATTTGTCACTTTTTCAGCATCAACTATTAAGACAAAAGTACCATCTCACAGTTTTCTTCATTAATAATTCAAAAGTGGGAGTAAACATCATGTTGGTTAAATTCACAGACCATGATAAAATGGGAGTAAGGAAACTACCAGTAAGCAAGCAGGCAATCATGAAAGAGGCCCCTAGAGAACTGAGGAATAGATGCAAAATTTCACCTTGGTTCAAGGAGAAATACTGATGCTACTCAGAAAACTGAAAAATTACCAAAACACCCAAAATGGAAAAGACAGTGTCTCTGAATGAGAAAGAGATCCCTAAATATAGATTATAAAGTGATCCCATGGCATAGATTAATTAGTATCTGACACATGGACTAGTATGAGGGCAGGGAGGGGGCTGGTTAACACCTTTCTTAAAAAGTATGGATTAATAAAAAAAAAAAATAAAAAAAATAAACAAAAAAACAAAGGACTCTCTTTAGCAAAACTACTGTGTGTACAAATATTTGTAAAAAATAAATTCAGGAGTTGGGGTTCAATAAATGAAACAAAAATGAAAGCTCCTTTTACAAACACATAGGCATATACAGACCTCTTTTTGTAATCTTTGTTTGCAACAGTAGCCAAAGGACAAAGCTGACCAACTAATCCTTCCACACTGAACACATGTGCAGTCTGTCCTTTGATTAGTGGCAATACCCTGATTCACAGTATCAGTCATTTGTGACTGACCCTCCTAGACTCAGAGCCTATACAAAGATGATGTGTAAAAAATACAGTAACAACTCCACGCATAATTACAAGTCAGGCTGAAGTCTCATTATCTACAGTTACACAGATTGCTTGATCCAGTGGTGTGCACAGAATTCATAAAGCATTTATTCAGTCCTATGTACTGGTTCACTACAACCAACGGATTATTCAACAGTTGTTTAAGGATCTGACATTCTCTGTTTTTCATATTGAAATTATTAGTGAAATAACTCAAGAATCTGGGCCAATCAGAAAACACTGCCACTTTTGTAGACATTGTTTGACGTCACATTGTTGTCATCACCAGATTATGTGGGCCTTCTTATTTCCTGATTATCACTATAGAAATGTAGCACTGAATAATGTGTTCTTTAAGAAGCGAAAGCCAGAGATGATTTCCAGTTCAGTTATCAACTAAAAATCCAAAGCTATTTATAGAATTTTTTGGTACAGTAACCTAGAAAGCTGTTGGTGTAAATCTATCAGGCTCGGTGTATAACATGGTACAACTCTTAACACTTAATATTTCATCAACTTCCCTTCATTTGTGTTGCAAAGACAGTCCGCTACATGCAGTAACTTCTGGGTAACTTCTGGTAATACCTACAGAAGAGCTTCTCATGCCTAGGAACTTCCACAACACTTTGAGGATGTTTCTTTTATAACACCTTGTCAGACTACATTGAAAACCTATTTATGGCCAAGTGCAATGACTCACACCTGTAATCCCAGTACTCTGAGAGGCCAAAGCAGGAGGATCGCTTGAGGCCAGGAGTTCGAGACCCGCCTAGGCAATATAGCAAGACTCCATCTCTATAAAAAATTTAAAAGTTAAAAAAATAAGAAAATCTATTTATATAGTTGTCTCACATATGAAATTGCATTTTTCATGGTTGAGGGCCTTAAGAATAAAGACCACATCTAATTTATCTGTCTATTCCCAAGGTAAGCTCAGGACTAGTTAATCAATAGATGTGTTAAATGAATGTGAAAATGTATCTTAATGCATCTTAATGCATTATTCATGTACCCTGAGCATCTATGCTCACCCCAACACACATGTTGATGAATTCTAGACTGATGCTGGCCTATCTTAATGCATTCTCAGATACAATCTCAAACAGGCAGAAGAATAGTGATCCTAAAATATACCTCAGCTACGTTTCACTGATAATGGGCAAGTAGGTAACTGCAGAAAAGTCTAATGAAGGAGCCTTTTGAAGTAGTTTATACTGAAATAATAGCTATAACGAGATAATATCTGTTAGGGATATTATATGATATTATGAGGTATGCAAATACAGAATAGCA